GGGCCCGCACAGGGCGAGCAGAAGCGCGCCCGCGGGGCACCCGCGGCCGCCCCCCGCGCGGCCTCTCGGCGAGACGGGCCAGAACCTGAGTGGGCTACACGCAGGAGTGACCCCAGGTAAGAGTGACCTTTGGCGCGCGGTTTTTGGGGGGCCGCTGGGGGACCAAGCACAACCGCGCAAGACGCTGCTAATGCAAAGCGTTCGACGCACCGCTGCACCGCACCAAAGGTCACTCCGGCGAAAGGTCACCCTTACGTCGAGTCGACTGAGGCAGCAGGAGCAGGCTGCGCGGGCGCTGGGGTTCCCGCAACTGGCGCCGATGCTGAGGTTTCCGCGAGCTGCTTCGACGGGGGCCACGACGCCTTCGACGGTCTTTTGGGGAGCTCACCTACGTCCAGGAAGCTAGGCTCAGCGTTGCCTACAGGCGAGTTTTGCACGAAACATGCGAAGACAAAGTTTTTTTTTTTTCTAAAAAAAAAAAAATGTTCAAAAATACTACAAGAATCGTCCCCATACTCCTTTTCTACTATTTTTGGATTTCCCCCTGTAGAAGTACAGGCCCGGCTTAACACCAGGAGCAAGAGCCCCTGGTGAGGGTTTTTCTGATTAGGCGTTCCGACATTGGAAGGGAGGGGGGGGGTCTGGCTCCAGACCTCAGCTCAGTGCGGCTGTTTGCGACAGTGCGCCCCATGAGGGGAGACTCCAGCCGCTCGAAACAGGCGCCAAAAAAACAGCCAAGATCTACTCCGTGGGGGGGGGAGGGGGGGGTGCGAGGGCCCGCGCCGATCGGCAAAACAATGAATAAAATACGCTCAACTGGTGCAAGCACTGATTGGGCAACAACAGCTGGCAGGCCGAGGGATGAGCTTAGGAGCCTCTCCCGAGCCCAGCGGCAATCAACGCGGTCAACTCCACACGCGACCGACGCAAATAAACTCGCATCTGATGTCGGTCTCGCGGTAGCTCAATGATACGTTATTCCGATTGTTGGCTCCAATGCATCCGTCGTGTAATTTTTTTGCCCGCAATGCTCCAGCTGCCGAGGGTGAACGCCAGGCGCCCAGCAGAGGCAGGCGACAGCGAGACCTAGCCTCTACGCGCAGGGCGACCTGCACAGGCTACAGACGCGGGGACCTGTAGCGAGAGGGCAGAAGACTCGTCCCGGCCCCTATTAGGCCGAGACAAATGAACAGCCCGAAAAGACCCCAGCGACCCCGTGGGTCAGGGGAACAAGGCGAAAGGGAACATCCTAGTCCGAGTCCGAGGAAGAAGGAACCTCAGGACACCCACCAGCAGCTCGGACTAGTCTGTTGACTTTCGCTTGGAAAATGGCGGCAGCCGACCGAGCGGGAGCAAGAGGCTCCAGGCCGACAAAGTCCGCCGCAACAGCTTGCACCTGTCGGGAAGCAACCCGAGAGGTGTTACCCCCGATCGGGGGTGAGAAAGCCTTGGACTTCACAGCAGGACCGAGGGTAGACGACGACGGATACTCCACGACACTATCAGGCTGTGAGTCCAGTAAGAACCTGGCGGCGCCCTCTTCCTCGTCGAAGCCTTCCTACAGGGGCTCGGCCTCGGAAGGTGATACCAGGAGCTCATCGGCTCCCGTAGGGGCCACCGCGCGCACTCAAAGCGGGTATGAAACAGGGCACACCTGCTCGGTGCCAAACTCTGCCGCGGGGGCCTCTCCCGTTGGAGCAGCAACCGACCCGAACGCATCCACAACGCCGCGGGTTGCTTCTCCAATGGGAGGGGCACTGGCAAGGCCATCCACAAAAACTCGGACCAGCGACTTGTCGCGCTGGGGGTGGAAACCCAGCAGCAGTCTTTTCCACTTGGATTTTTTTGCCACGGGTGCATAGTCCCTGGGCCAGGGCAGCGTTTCAGAAACAGGTTCGATTTGAGCGGTGACCCCGTCGAAATCTGAGCCGTGCAATGAACGCAGACATACATAATGGAATGATCCGAACAGGCGAAGCCTACAATAAAGTGACGATTGTCTCGGACCAATTCGAAATCTAGCCCTGGGGCGGGCCCCGCGCACTTCCTAGGAGGAGGGATAGGACGTGCGCCGAACCTGAACGTGAACTTGGCCCTAGATGCCTTGAAACAGAAATTGCACCGCCAGAGTCCCGCAACCCTGGCAAAAGAGCACGCTTCTGAAGCTACAGCAGCGGCCCTGGGACGATCGGGCTTGATATACTCAACTTCCCCGAACTCCTTGAGGGACGGGAAACGCGGCAAAAGCTTCATAACTAACCTGCAGAACGCATCCGTGTAGTTTATACGCAGTTCGGTTTCTTCCAAAACCTCGCGGTCCATGGGATGCAACGAAACCGCATTCTTTGCGCCTAAGTCGGCAAGATGATTCCCCGTCCAGCAATAAATTTCATCCTCGGACAAACCTGCCCCGCTTAGACTGAGATGACCCTTGATCTTCATCATCTTTTCCAAAAATTTGCGGGCAACGTCAGCCCTCGCCTGGACGATATGTCCAGCATAAGCTTTGCGAAAATGTGCGTACAAGTCTGGCGCTGCGCGGTAATCATTGACCACATTGGCGCAGTCCAACAGAATGGAGGCAGGGCCCTTGAGGCACATAACTGAACATGTAAAAGCAGAATATTCGGCCGCCTGAGGAGACTGACGGAGAGGCGGATGTACAGGGCAACGGATCTCGCAAATGCGCACCCCGTCCTTGAAAGCATTGCAACACCATCCTGCGCGGCAAAGCTCGCGAATGGGATGCCACGTGCAAGAGCCACCTACAAAAATGTCACCTTCCAGCGACAACTCGTTTTCAGGAGGAGCGACGAACCATTCGGCGACCCAGGACCCAGCCGCCAGCGGCCCAGGGTGGATGTCCCCAGGATGAGGTAAGCCTCCACGAGTAACCGAGAACAACAGATTACGGTTCGTAATATGGCCGTCGATGCTCTCAAGTATTTCCCGGCCGACAAGCTCAAGACGTTCATCTGCCAATGCAAGACATTTCCATATCCTGTGATACAAAGTGTCGCGGCACCCGCAGCCCAAAGGACACTCCACAGGGTACTGATAGCCCTTCCCGAGGGCATAGACACGGGCCCAGAGCGCACCAGACGCGACCGCCCTGAGAGCCCCTTTCCCCAAAGGGGTGTTCTTTTGGACCGCAAATGCCGAGCGACGATATCAAAACAAACCCTATCAGGAAAACCATGACGGTCTCCAATGCTTCGCTCGAGTTGCCGAAGCACCGCATCCTTAAGTTGGAGCCTCAACATGCCTGGAGACAATAACACAAGCGAAAACTCGTGGCCTTGGTCCGTCACTAGAGTGGCGAAATTCTGAGCCGTCCAGCCAAGGCGACGAAGAGAACACCGCAGGGCCGAAACGGGGCCAGCGACGGATCGCCACGTTTTCCAGGGCTGTGCAAAAACCTGATCAAAAGCTAACCTCAACTGCTGAAAACTAAGCGTGGCGGGGTGAAAGCTCAGACGAGTGTTCCAAATTTCTTTAGCCCAACGCAGGATAGGGGAAACTTGAATGAGCCAAGTGGGGTCCTCCTCGAGAAGCAACAAGATAGAAAGACTCCTGTCTCCCGCGCTGGGTTTCAACACGGAAGCGAAACTACGCCTGAGCCTAAGGAGTTCTCTGTCGCTGATACCATGCACCTCGGAGGCATAAGTGGCAGCAGGGAGCGGCCCAGCAACCCACAAATTCCTGCACTTACGGCACAGGGACTTATGTCACTTATGGATTCGTTTAGCCCTAGCCTGGGCACAGGTACGCCTGCGCTTTGCCTTAGAGTCGAGGCCCCTGTGCCTGAGCGGCTTGCCGACGTTGTCGCCGGCACCGAGGTTTGGCGCAGCGCAGACGATTGGACCAGTTAAAGCAGATCCGAGACGCCGCTGGATGGCCTGTCCCACCATCTTACTGGAGGTCATGAGACAAGCCTTGTCCTCTGCTAAGGTGGCTCCGATCTCCTCAACAACTATCCTCTTGAGCTGAAGACTGCTGTCGACGATCCCGTGGACGACTTCATTGAACGACCCGACGGCATGCAACCCGTTGTCGTCGATGTACAACGAGTAGGTAATACACGGTGGCCACGCAATGCTGCCCAGCCCAATCAACGAATTCACTGCGATGAAGGTGGTGGCGAAAGGACATCCCGCAACCACGCCATGAATCGCATGCAGAGCGGCAGAGACGTTGCCGTCGAGCGACAAGTGGCGAGGGGCAAGATAAGCGTAACAAGCCAATATGGAAATGGCCTGAGGAAAACCAAGAGCATGGCACCTAGACAACACTTGCGCCACATTGAGACTCTCGTAGTACTTTAGGAAATCCCATAGGAGGGTCGCAGCATACTGTCCACTGGCAACGCCCCCCTCCGACAGGAGGGCTTGCCGCCAGACGGTATCGCTGGCCCCCATGCATTTCCCAGCCGCGAACCAGGGTCTGAAATTTTTAACCTCCCAGGCCTGGGCGAAAGGTCTACGCAATCTACCCCAGAGCCTGCAAGGCCCCGTAAAAATTCCGATAGGACGGTGACCGCCCACAGGCTTCGGGAGCAACATGGAAACAATGATGTACAACTGAGAAGGCATGATCGAGCTGATTTCCATGATGCGGTATATTTCCAGAAGACACTCCAGAGCAACATCCGAGAGATAGCTAAAATGTCGGAGGTGAAAGCCATCAGTGCTGACAGCTGACCCCTCCTTGTAACCCTTGCTGATTTTTCGGGCGGTGCTAACGTCGGGCAGATCGATCTCGGGGGCAGGCTCGAAATCCCCAGGCGGAGATGGGGCCGAGAGCTCCGCTCGCCACAACGCCTTGAAACGGGCCGCCTCAGAAGACAAGATCGAAAGGGGGTCTGAAACAATAACTTTATCATCAGCGAGAACAGTAGTGGGGGACCAGACCCTGGGAGCTCTAGTGACCATGTGGGCCCGCCTGGCCCCCTTCTCCACTCCACACTTGATCCACTGACTCCAGGAGGCTCGACTGTTGGCCTTCGCGACTAGAGTCTCCGCCTCGACGGCGGACGTAATGCGAGTGAGCAGGTCCTTAGCACCAGGAAGGGACTGAGCGGCACGAGCCGCCGAGCTGGCGAAGGCTTGCACCTGTCGAAAGATCGCGGCGTGCCTGCCAGCGTTGGCCAAAACCTGAGCGGGGAGAGCAAAAACACCTGACTTCGCAGACTCGAAGTCGATCTCACGACAACCCTGTTGAAGAAGATGAAAGAAAACAGCAAACTTCGCATGCAGCCAGCGGATAGCGTATAACTCAGGGTGGCGAGGGCCTGTCATGTCCAAATCCGCGAGGGATTTCCACACGACGCGCGGATTTTGACGGCGGGTTCCCAGGACAGGCAGAGAAGCGCCAGTGAGCTCAACCAACTCTTTTTCCGCAAGATCGGCCCAGGACCCATAAATCCGAGTGAGGTTGTCTCTGGTGGCGGCACCCTTCCCCTGACCAGCCACTTGCACGGCCTGCTCGAGCTCTTGCCTGACTCGGTCAAAACCAGCGGACGGGGCTTGAACAGGGCCAATCACTCGATCAAGGCCAATCCGTGGCGGCTTCAAGAAAGCCACGGCACGTAAAGTGGCCAGCTGGGGGAAGAGGGACAGAGAGACAGGGGAATGCGGGGTGAGATCGGAGTTACTGACGAGGACGACCGATTGGGTGGCCTTGCTAAGGCCGCGGCTCACCAGGAAGTAATCATTTAAGCGCACGCCTCCAGTAGTAGAACACGCGCCGATGACATCGGGAGCGAGGAGCTTTCCACGTGCCACCTCGAGGAAATCGGAATCCTGGACGCCGGGGGGCCCCACGTTGAAATCCCCTCCCACGAGCCATGGCAATCCAGAGGACGATGCGAACTCCTCCACAGATCTCAGCACATCTAAATTCGTGCCAGAGAGGCCGATGCCGTGCATCAGGTAGAGGCTGGAAACACACACAGCGGACCCTCCTGGGACTTGAACAACACCGCCAACACAACGGCCCCGATAAAGTTCATGAGGCCCCAGTTGATGTAAACCCAAGTAAGACTTGACAAAAAGGGCAACACCACCACGGGTGCCTTCATTGGGTCCAGCCAGCGCGGGGCTCCAGAGGCTCTTCCAACCCTGGCGGAGGGCCCAGGCTGACGCTTGGTCGACTTCCTCACGATTTCGCTGGTGGTGTTCCTGCATTAGAACAACATGAGACTGACAACTACTCAAAAAGGTTTTTCCCGACCCCCACCCGGTGACGTTAGCCGTGGTGAAGGTCAAGGAAATCTGAGACGGATCCTGAGAGGACCCCAACAGTGGAGACTCTACAAAACTAGTGCCTACAGGCGTACTGAGGCTGGTAGCGGGGCCCTGGAGGCCAAGGGTCATGATGGCTTTTGCACGCGAGGTCACTGAACTTAAAGCCCTCCAAAAATTACCCGAAGCCTTACCCAAGACATTCCCCCCCTTGCCCTTCAGAGTGCTAAAGGCTAGGCGTCTGAGTCGCCGTCCCAGCCACAGGACCGCCTCCAGCGATCTCTGCAGCTCGACGTCGCACCGACGACGCCTCTGCCGAGCCAGCTGTCGCCTCTGCGGCGCAGGCCGCGGCCCTGGGTGGGGGTGTCTGGGCTGGCTCGGGGGTCTCGGGCGCTGCTGAAGGAACTCCGTTGCCTCCCTCACTATCTCCAGCAGTATCAGACCTACGCCTTTTTCCTTGGAGACGGGCAAGCAGCGCCTTGTGGTCCTCCTTTGCCTTGTTCGTCTTCCCCAGGGCTTCCTTGAACAAAGAAGCGGTGGCCTCCTGGAGGCTCTTCTTGAGCTCTGAGACCAAGTTCTGAGCTGTCGCCTTATCTTCTTCCGAGATGTCAAGGGCACCCTCCTCATGGTCGTCCACCAAATCGCCAAGGGTGATGGGGATCTCCTCGAACTTGCCCGACAGGATGGCTCGGACAGACCACGGAGAGTCCCTAGCCTGGTCCTTGACCTCAGGGGCGGGTTCAGAAAGTTTGGAATGCAACAGCGCCACCAATTGTTTGTGTAAATCTTCTGCGGACTGACGCTCAGCTTGCAAACGGCCCACACGTTCGCGTTGCTCATCAATGGCAGTCTGCATCTCGTCGAAACGCTTGACAGCCTTGGCCAAGCTATCCTCATGTGCTCGAAGCGCATTGAAAGCCTTGGTGATCTGTTGCTGGATTGGCTGCTGCCTGTTGGCTGCACGCCTGGCGTCGAGCACCCTGGCATAGTGTGAGGCCGTGGAATTGTCGCCAGTCTTCCTGAGCATGGCGATAAGAGCCTCAACCTCTGTCTCTTCCAAGCCCTTGATGTCGACCTGTGTAGACTGCCCAGACTGAGGCTGAAGACCAGGCTGAGTAGGACGAGGAAAACCACCAGCACCTTGGGGACCTTGGCCAGGCGGCCACACTCCTTGTGGGGGTCGGGGCGGGTGGCCTGGGTCCGCGCGAGGGGCTCCACAGTGTCGACACGTCGCTGATGTCGATGCGTTTTTCCTGCACGGACAGTGGGTGCACTTCCACCGCCCTTGCCGAGGGTAAAATTGAGGGCCCCCTCCTCCATTGCCACCTTGACCAAATCCTCCGAAGAGTTGTCCAGGTGGCACAGGGACGCGGGCGAAGGGGTTCGACGCCATGAATCCTCCTCCTCCGTTGGTTGAATGGAATGTCTGGCGGGGCGGCCACTGGTGTGCCACTCCTCCCCAGGCTGGGGCCATCCCACCACACTGGAAAGCCATGGCACGGAAATGGTGAAGGAGGGGTGCCACCAGCGCACAGCCTAGTGGGAATGGAATTTGCTCCAGCAGGAGCTCACTGAGAGAAATACCTCGTCTGACCTGGCAGAGGAGGTGCGAAGACGGGGGCCGCGGATCCCCCTTGCCAGAAAGGTCAGGTCCTGAGCACAAACGCTACGGACTTGAGCCAAAATGGCTACGGAACATCCGTCGTGTAAGAAACTGTATGCACATCGAAGATTTACGCATCCGAGCGACAACGCGTGGCATGCTGGCAATAGGGATGCAACAAGAACAATAAGGATAAGATGGAAGCACGAATGTCAGCTCAAGCCAACATGACTCGAGGCAAACTGACAGACAGGGAGGAGGAAGGAAGAGGAGGGGGAGGGAGGGGGAAGGAGGGAAGCGAGGAGGAGCGAGGAGGAGAAGCAGTGATGAGGAGGGGGAAGGAGGACGAGGAAGAGGAGGAGGGAGAGGAGGGGGAGGAGAGAGAGAGGTGGGGAATGGGTGGATAAAAGGCAGGATGAAAAGAATGGCAGGAGAAGGACGAGGGGAGGAGGACGAGGAGGAGATGAAGGAGGAGGAGGCGGAGATGGAGGAGGTGGAGCAGGAGAAGAAAGAAAGAGGAGAGAAGGATAACCACCCCTCCCTCCGGCAATCACAAAAAGTAGCAGCAGCGACTCGAAAGCTCGCAGCACCACGCTGCCTGAGCAGAATGGTACGAGCCACAGGCAGTGGGGAAATAAATACACAGGTGATGAATAAGCGCAAAGTCAAGTCGTGCGGCGGTCCAAACCACATGCAAACATCTCGTGCTCAACGAAGGCAAAAAGCTAGGAGGCAACTGCAGGTAGATTTTTCGCAAATTGATTCTAATCTTCGAAGCCCAGTAAGGGGCCATTGAGCCGAATTAGTCCAAGCTAGTCCGAGGTAGCGCCAAATTGAACGGCGATACGCGGGATTCAACAGGAGTATGCCGGATTTGGCAGGTGTTCGACCCCGGAGATACCAGCGCCGATGCTGCCTCGAACCTCCCAGGAGCTGCATCCTAACAGAAACACATCCTGAATGCAGGAAGGGAATGGAGTCTTGCGCGCGACGACACGGAAACCCTGCACGCCGGCTTGCGCCGGCAGCCGGCGCAACAAGCCGCGCGGGCAAGAGGGCGCGCACCGCTGAGATGCACCCCTACGGCAGGTTCGTGTCATGCCGACCTCGGCGTTGGTTCCTGAAACCGCGGGGATCGTTCAATCGGGGAGACGTAAGACTCGGGTACGGGGGGCTCGGGTTGGCCTGACGGGGCCATCATGAAAATGACGACACCCAATCTGAAACTTGACGCGAGTCCCGCTGCAGACATCCCACTAAAACTGGACCGTCAAAATCCAAAACGCGCTCGGCAAACCCGAGTTCTGGCTTACTCGAGTATTAGGTTTCCCCGATTCAACCTTGAACGGTCAGGTCCGGTAGATTCGCGTCTTGCCGATCGGCGGCGGCCCGCCGCTGGCGTTCAATGTTCGACGCCGCCGGCGACCCAGAATCAATCGATCAGATCTGACTTCGGAAATGGCTGATCGTTCAAGGCTGAATCGGAGAAATGCGTGATCGTTCAATGATGGGCCGATTCTGGGCCACGGGCGGCGTTCAACCTTAAACGCCGCGCTGGGGTTGCCGCTGGTCGACACGACGCGAACTTCCCGGATCCCCACTGGAGTGGCCTGGGCCCCACTTGCCAATTTACCTCCCTGGATGGGGATCCGCCACCGTGCCTGCGGCACGTTGAGCCGTGGAAGAATGCTAAGGGCTGCCTGGCAGGGTTTCTGTAGTCTGAGGGACCTCCCACACGCTCCTGAAGCACCCACCCAACTGAACCATCCCTTATCACGGGGGGTCCCTGGGCGGCCATGTCGCCTCTCAAAGTCTCTCCAAAAGTTCCATGACGGCCCAGGAGGCTCCCAAGACAGTCCAAGAGGGCCCCCAGTCGCCAAACGATCGCTCGAAGACGCCCACGATGGCCTCAAGATGGCCCAAAGAGGTCTCCAGGGCGCCCTAGGAGGCCTCCAAGAGGCCTCCCAAGAGGGCCCCAAGAGGCAAAAATTAGTTATTTTCGGTAGCTGTTCGAAGGATTTGGGCGCTCTCGCCTTTTCGGCATTCCGACGCTCCAGGACGGCCCAAGAGGCCCCCAAGACCACCCCAAAATGGCCCAAGTGGGCCCCAAGACGGCCCATGAGCGCCCCAAGACGGCACAAGAGGCGCCCAAGACGGCCCAAGAGGGCCCTAGGATGGCTCCAAAAGGAGCCCAAGAGAGGGAGCACGAACCGATAATGCTAGCCTTCCGCACCAAGAGGTCCCCAGGAGGCCCCAAAAGGCACCCAAGAGGCCCCGAGAGGCCCCCAAGAGGCCCCCCAGAGGACCC